GGCTTCCCTCCTTCCTGGGTCCATCTCACTCAGCTCCCTACCATCTAGCTCATCCTCATTCCTTCCTGTGAACCCCTAATATTTAGTAACATGTTCTACCCTGACCCACAGTGGCCACAGCTGGTAGAGACTCAGAAGTACCCCCTCCCGGGGCAACGCTCACCCGCCACACCCTGAGATCCACAGAGGGTAACAGAAACTAAGAAATGGTGCCCTCATCCAAGAGAAACCATATTCCAACACCTAGAATTACAATAAGCTCAAATACCAGCACAAAAACACAATCAGTAAGAGCCTCTAAGAACCCAGCAACACTACTACAGTAAGCCCTGAAAAGTGTAACATAGCTCATACACAAGCCAAAGACTTCAAAATAGCTCTTATGAGTATGCTCAAGTACCTTAAGCAAGATATGAATACATTGATTAATGAAGTCTATGAAAACACAAACAAATAGCAGAATGAGAGAAAGAGAAACCTTGAAACACTCAGCACTAAATGTGATGTCTCATCAAATTTCTCACCTTGCGGCTCAGGAATCCCGAGGAAGAGGAGCTGGAAAGACTGTAAGAGCAATGGGGAGAAGAGACAACCAGGAAACCAGATCTAGACACAGTGGACTAGTGCACATGTGGCCATGCCACCCTGCGCAGGCCTGAACAGCCAGATGGGGCCTCAGCGCTGAGAGGGGAAGCACAGCCCATTCAGAAGCTACGTCCAATGGATAACTCCTGGTAAAGGAAAAAATCCGGTTTCTCCAATGGAATCTCACTGGGCATACAAACCACTCTTCAGGGCAGGCCCCATACCCAGCAGCAAATGACCAGCATAAAACAAACCCACTGGTATTCTTGGAGGATTTCTCCTCACAAGGCTTTGTCTAGACATTTAAAAACAAACAAACACCTTACAGATATTTTGCTTATATATTATGGCTTTCAATTTTGCTTTTACCGGTTTTCTGTGTGTGTATGTGTGTGAATGTCTGGTAAGTTTCTTATGGTTCTGTTTCTTGTCTTTTTTTTTTTTCCTGTGTTTCTCCCCCAACCCAGCCCCCATTTGTTCTGTCCTATTTTGGCAGGCTTCTTTTTACTTGATAGTATTACTATTAGTAGTAATAGTAGTAGTAGTAGTAGTAGTAGTAGTAGTAGTAGTACCTGTTCGTACTATAATGAGAGGGAAAGAAAGGGCATCGATTTGGATGGGTGGGGAAGTGAGGAGGAAAACCTGGGGAAGTAGAAACCAGAATCAGAATACACTGTATAGAAAAAACTATTTTTAATAAGTAAATAAAACAAATGGACTCATGTTGGCTCGGATGGCCCAAGCCTGAGTCTGCGTCCTCAGGACCCACAGTAAACCTGAGAACTGTAGCACATAAATCTTTTAACCCTGGTGCTCCCATAGGAAGGTTGGAGGCAGAGACAGGCAGTTCTCAGAAGTTCACAGGCACATTAGCTTGGCATATAGAGAAGTGAAAAATGAGATAAGAGACCTTGCCTTAAGTAAGGTTGAAGATGAGGAGCATCAACAGCCTGGCTGTCCTCTGACTTCCATACATTTACCACAGTACATGCACACCCACAGTTACACACATGCTGGACTAACAGCAAAACCGACTTAGAGTTCATTCATATAAACGCCTGAGAACTCTGGTAGACAGTCAGGCATTCTAGGAGACAGAGTGAGAAACACTGCCTTAGGGAGAGAGCTAATCTTCGTAGGCAACAGGGGCCTGGAGATGGATGCTGGTGTCTTCATCACATTTACTCCACGTTCCTCGTAGCTTGTACTAAGAGCCTTTCCTGTCAAGCTGCCCATGTACCATGTATGGAGCATCCAGTCAGACGATTCCTAGATTTCACCTACCTACTCATTTGGTAGAATTTATTGGTGTTTCTGGGTTTTATACACAAAGACTTATCTATTTTGCTTACATCTGTGTTCTTAGTGCCTGACATACAGTAAATGTGCAATACACTTCTGAAATGAACACAAGACCAAGATGGAAGAATTCATCACCCCCTATGATATGGACCTAATTATGAAGGGGGGAAAAACCTAGATCAACGATGCCCTACTTGAGACCCATCCCTTGGGAGAAAACCAATCCCTGACACTATTAGTGTTATTCTACTATACCTGTAGACAGGAGCTTAGCATAACTCCTGGGCATCACCCAGAAGCTGCTGGAAACAGATGCTGAGATCTATAGCCAAACATTAAGGAGTTTGGGGGAACGATTGTAGGAGCCAGAGGGGTCAAGGACTCCACAAGAAGACCTACAGAGTTAACTAATCTGGGCTCATGGGGGCTCACAGAGACTGAACCACGAACCAAAGAGCATGCATGGGTTGGTCCTGGGCTCCCTGCAGTCTTGTTCCCTAGTTGGGCTGCCTTGTCTGCCCTCACTGGGAGATGATGCACCTCATTCTGCAGCAACTTAATGGGCCAGGGTGGGCTGGTACCCATGAGGGACCTCCCTCTTCTTTGAGAAGGGGGAAAATGGGGGAAAGGGGTCTCGGGGGTGGGGGGGGGTTGGGCACGGGAGAAGAGGAGAGAGCTTATGATCAGGATGTAAAGTATTACATAAATAAATATATAAATAAATGCCCACAAGATACCTTAGCTAAAAAGAAATAATTGAAACAATTTACTTAGGGACTAAGACTTTACAATTTACTATAGCTTTCAGGGACATGTTATAAGGAACAATTAAGGAAGAAAATACCTTCCTTAGCAGAAAGTAACCAGCTATAGAAAGGCATCTGTGTTGCACTCAATATTGTAATCATGAGAGGCAGCATGATTAACCCTTTCTGTTCAGTTACTGATGAGCATTAAATCTTTTATGTTTGCTGCAGATGTAGCAGAATTCTAAATAGCCCAGACTAGCCTTGAACCCATAATTCCCTTGCTTCCTGGTTTAGAGTACTTGGATTGCAGATGATGCCATGCTTGATTTCAGTGAAATTTTGATGTTTAAAAGTATCCAATTTTTGCTAGGTGTGGTGTTACACGACTGCTATCCCAGCATTTAGGAGGTTGAACTAGTAGGATCAGGATTTGAAACACGTCTGAGTTCCACAGTGTGATACTGTCTCAGACAAATGGAACAAAATCAAACAATAAAACAGTAAAAGAAACCAGGCATTTTTTTAATATATACATATAAACTTATATGACTATATCACTAAAAAACTGTCCTAACAGAACTGAGCCGTCTTCCCAGCCTTAGGAAGTACTTTGTGAATGTACATATTTTTAAAACTTACGAGTAAAATATATTTTATCGCATCATTGTTTAGTATTTTTTAAAGAATTTTTTTATTATTATCATTTATTACAATTTATTTAATTTGTATCCTGGCTGTGTCCCCTCCCTCCCTCTTCTCCCCCTAAGTTTTGCTTTAGTTTTTGCATCAGAGGGACTGCTTTGATCTTTGTATGTCTGAATAATGGGTGATTTTCTGCTTTAAGAAACTGGCACATAGGTTAGAATCTATATGATATTAATCACTGTTAGCTCTGCAAAAAATTATGCATGTAACAACAGTGAAATTTTAAACAGAAGAAAGCAAAAGTCATAAGCTGATGAAAAGAGACTGAGCTTAGGAATTTAACAAGCCACAAATTCAAAAATTTCTTTTGGCTACAATACCAAAATAAACAAACAACAACAATAACTCTGGCATAAGCTAAAAACATACTCTTTCTGTGCTATACAAGTGTTATTTTTATGAGTCAGAGTCTTCTGTGTAGCCCAGCCTGACCCCACTTGTAATCTGCTTCTGCCTCATGAACATAGCAATCACAGGCATGAAGTCACTATGTCAAGTATATCACTGCTGTTGCTAAATACCAAGTAAAGATTCCTTGAAACATGTATATACAATATTCCTGTAGCCCATTTTACCCAGGTTCCACTAGCGTATTTTTAGAAGACTCTCTCAAACACACACACACACACACACACACACACACACACACACACACACACAGAAAGAGGGACGGAAGAAGGGGGAGAGAGAAAGAGAAAGAGAAAGAGAGAGAGAGAGAGAGAGAGAGAGAGAGAAAATGACTATAAAGCATAACTGCTTTTCCCATCTTGCCTGATCTCTACCTGGACTGTGCCCTTACTGATACCCGTTAATCAGAGATTAGGCTAGAAGGGAGTTAGAGGGATTTAGCCTAAAAAGGAATTCTAAATTAACCCATTTAGATGTTACAACTCATCTACCGTTTGTAGCCAAGTTTAACCAAAATATATTCTAAAGAAGAAACAAAGAGCCAAAGATTCTAGAACATGGCGACTGTCTTATCCTTTTCCTTCTGTCAACAACTCTTTGTAGAGAGGGTCTAGCCTTGTGATGTGCACTTAGCGAAAACTCAATAAGCATTTCCCAAGATCCAGCTATTTTCTGGGTCACCAAGGAATGATTCAAGAATGAAACTATATTTCAGATTGGGTATAATGAAAGTTTTATGGTTGTATATCAGTTATCCCTGGTGTACTAACATAACGGGATAGATGAAATAATCAATGGTGCTCAGCCAAAGAGTCACGAAATGGTGACTACCACTCGAGTGCTTCTATAACCCGTGTTAAAAAATGAGAGAGAGAGAGAAAAAAAAGAGAGAAAGAGAGAGAGAGAGAGAAAGAAAAGATGAAATAAACAAACAAAAAACCCCTATATAGTAAGTAAGCATGATTTCCTAAACCAAAGTTTGCAAACTAGCCACTGAATAATTTTCTTGTAAACTGAACTATTTCGCACCCTAAATGTAGTAAAATGTAAACAGGCCATAAATGTAAACAGATCTTTAGAACTTGGATTCATGACGAGTAAAGAGGAAAGAGTCACATGAGTGGCATAAGAGACTGTGACATCTAAACGGCATCTTTACCATCCTAACTACAGTCACATGCAGTCACTCCTCTCCAGGGGCAGCCACTGCAGTGGCCGCCTATGGGGACCTCACTTCGCCTCTCATCTTACCTCATCTTTTATGTCTTCCTGTTGCTGGGCTGAGAAGATCTCCATGGCAGCCATGAGCCTCATCATTAGCTCATCCACTGTTGTATTACCTGATGAGACATAAGAGAGTCCAAGCTCTACACAAGATTTTACAACTTCAAGATACTAAACATCATTATTCAATAAAAAATTATCAGCATTAGAAATTGAGACAGGAATGCTAGTGTGTAAAATACTTTCCACCAAGTGTTTCATATCTTCAGTAAGTAACAGTAGCAATTGAAATGTCAGAAAATTCAGAATTGGAGCAGCTTAAATTAACAATTTTTTAGTACCAGAAAGAATGTCCAGGCCATGAGGTGGAAAGTCCCTTCAATTTGTAAAGACAATGACGTCAGTAACCCTGGTGGCAACCACCAACTGCGCACACGTCGGTGATTAGGCTACCTAGGATTTCACCACGTCAGTCTGTAAGTCTATGAAGAAGGAACTATACTCTAGACTTCAAAAGCAGAGCTACCTTTAAAATGCCTCACCCAGCCAAGACGGAGGCAGTAATCACAGTCAGTCCCTGAATCCAGGGGAGTCTAATCAGGAGGCAATCCTCCCCTCCATGACCAGGCCCCCGACAGCCAGCCTTGCCAAGTGCCTACCAATGTGAGCTGGAGACTGACGTGCTAGATAATCACTCTGCCAGGAAGCTATCAAAAATGCACCCCTCCTTGCCATGCCTCCCTTCATGATGCTAACTGACTAAACCTCTGAAACTGTAAGACAGCCCCAATTAAGTGTTTATCTCCAAGAGTTGCGATGGTCATGGTATTTCTCTGCAGCAATTAACTCCCAGGACAGAGTGCTTGCTGCTCTTCCAGATGGCCTAGGTTGGATTCCCTGAGCTCACATGGCAGCTAACAACTGTCTAACTCTAGGCACAGGAGACTGCCACCCTCTTCTGGCCTCTGAGGATACCAGGGACAACATGAGATGCATAGACAAACAAACATGCGGGCAAAACACTCATATACATAAAATAAAAGTGAATCTTTTAAAACATGAATGAATACAAGAATGAGTAGATTACAGCTAAGGGTCAATCTTATTCTCGACAGGAAGGCAACACTCCTCTGCAAGGTTCTCTGAAGTAGCAGAGATAATGTGTCACCTGCTAGACACACAGGACAGTCGTTGGTAGTTACACCAATAGATAGGCCAGGTGGCAGAAAGAAGGTTCTGAACACTGCAGCTCTCGTCACTGGGTTAGACTCTGAGTCTTCTGCCAAGCACTGTGGTGGTCTGAATGAGAACTGGCTACAAGGGAGTTGCACCACCCCTGGTCCCCAGCGGGTGGTGCTGCACAGGGACGGAATACAACTTTTAAGGGATAGAGCCCTAAGGAAGGACATGCTTTGAGAATTGACAGCCTGGCTTCACTGCACTTTGCTTTGTCTCATGTGTTAAAAATGCGACCAGGCAGCTTGCTGCCCTGCATGCCTGCTGTCATGTCTTCCTCATCAGTACGGACTTTCCCTCTGGAACCATGGGGAACCAAAGTATTGAAATTGTAAGTGGGAAAATGTTACAGTTATGTGAGTGCTAACATACATTGTTAGTGTTCCAGCTTAAGCTACTGCTCACTTGGCCATGTTTTTCCCTGACAGGAAGGACCCACTATTAAACGGAGCTTGCAGGTACCTCATACCAGAGTCCTTAATGGTCAGAGGCCAAAAAAGGCACCAGTGTATGGTATCAGCTTCCAAACTTGGGCTCAGGACCCTTTAAACTCTTAAAAACTATTAAAATTCTCAAAATAAGTTCAGTTTATGTACTTCTAGCCTTTCTATTGCTGTAATAAGATACCATGACCAAAAGTAACTTGAGTTTATCCTGGTTTCAGATGGATGGAGTCCATTATGGCAGGAAAGCATAGCATGGCAGCTGTGGTGGGAAGTCATGGCACAGAGGCAGAGCAGGAAGCAAGCTGAACATATTTCAATACAAGAAGCAAAGAGCAAATTAGAATAAAGACAGGTTATATATGCTCAAAACCTACCTCCAGCAAGGCCATAACCTTCTAAAGGTTATACAACCTCCTCAAACAACCATCAACTGGATACCAAGTTCAAATACCTGAACCTAGGAGGGAATTTCTCTTTTGAGCTATCATAGCCACTGACACTTACTTTACTAGAAACTTTAGAAAAAGGGCAAGAAAATGGCTCAGTGGGTAAAGGTGCTGGCACCAAACCTGGTAACCTGAGATCAGCCCATGGAAGCTACATGATGAAGAAAAGAACACAGACATATAACAAATATAAGACAAAAATTTTTAAAATTAAAATAAAAATATAACATGTATCGGTTCATTTAAAAGTAATAGTGCCTATTATAAACTAATATAATGCTTTATTTTTGTTAAAAAAAAAAAACTTCCTTCAGAAGAAAAAGGTGAAAAGAATGGCAAAGCTGTAATACTTTCAAATATTTCTGTCCTGTCTGCACCAACTCAAAACGATTATAGCTTTAGATCTATTTCTATATTAAACTTGAAATTTATGAAGAATATGTGGCCTTCTGCAGATATGTAATCAGAAAAAGAAGAGACATTTTAATAGGTATTTGTTGTTCTAGTTCTTTGACACTATACTCAGCTTGACAAGAGAAGTTTCTGCAAATCAGCAGCATTTCAGTGCTTTTGTACTTTGTTACACTAAAATGCTTTTCCTTCCCTCCTCAAAACTCTATGGCCTCCTTATATTGTTCAGGCTGACCCTGACCTCTCAGTCCTCCCCCGTTGGCCACGGGAGTAGCTGAGATTACAAGCACGCCATCTAGCACCCAGCTCCATTATCTGTTTTCCATGCATAATTTTATTTCATTATGCATCAGCGCCTTTCGAAAACATTACTTCAGTGGACTATGCATTTCTTCTGACTGCTGATGCATTATATTGCATGGTATATAAAATAAAAATTCACATTTGTTAATATCGCTGCTGATATCATCAGAAAAGTACTTATGCTGCCAGTCTTCCAGTAGAGGATATAAGCTTTTTATAGAAACCCCAAATTTTATCACTGGCAACAAATAATACCAGTTCTTTTACTTGAAAGTGACATATTTACTTTGTTTATTTTGTAGAAAATATTTCCCAAATGTCCAGTCGACATAAACAAATTTTGTCTGTTAGGTAGTAAAAATGATTTCAGAAAGGCAGGGAGCAGAAACTAGTTAAGCTCACAAATCCACGAAAGTGCTTTTCTCTGGAGCAACTAGAACAGATTGGTTCACATCACCTAACAAAGGGGTGAAGGTTTAAAAAACAAAAAACAAACAAACAAACAAACAAAAAGAAATGTTTGCTTCTTAAAGGTTTGCTTCTTGAACGGCCTTTTCCTTTTCTACAGTAAGTACGTGGCAGGGTAGGATCTGTGCCAGAGGCTTGACTCCTGGTAAGATGACAACTGTTTTAGAAATCATTGCTTTTGAGTCCCTCGTCTAAATATTAACACAGTAAAAAGGGCAAAACACAATTAAACTACAAAACAACGCAGAGCAAAACAAACCTCCTATGTATCTATACTAATGGAAACAATTGTGAACTTGCAGATTTCCTCAAGCCAGGCTTCTGGAGTCTTTGGCCCATAGTTGCAAGACACAAACTATCACAGTATTGGCTCTGATGAGGAAAACAAGAAAGAAGCGTCTTCACTTTCTCTTCACCCCATGGGAATCAGCTCCCTCAGTCTTTTAAAAGGCTGCCTAGGAAACTATGGTCTGAAAAGTTAAAAAAAAAAAAAAATACCTGAGTTTTTGTTTTGTTTAGGCTTTAAAGGCACTGGAATGCAAAAATTCCTTCCCCCATCAGACTTCAATGGGGCAGAAATCAAGTACCCCAGACCAAGATTTAGATCAGAGCACTTGCAAACTCTTCCCTAGCTGAACTGAGCAGAGTGAACTGTTTCTACTTAAGCTTTCCCATGAACACAGCAATGTTTTACTCCAGCTTTTAGAAGCGTTAGTAACAATGACAAATAACCATTCATTCATTTTCTTTTAAGAAAAATTAAAACATGGTTAAATTTCTAGAAAAATGTAAACTGGTTAAATTTATAGGGATTACACAGCTTTTGCCTCAGGGTTGCATCTCAGGCAGAAGTCACACAAATAAGGAGGAACAATTGACATGTGAAAAATTCAATTTACAATGTATAGTCACTGCATTTTCTAGATAATTAACAATAAACAATTCTTTCAACTAATCAATATTACAGCTAAAATCGACAAAAATTAATGTCACAATTGTCAAATTATTATAATCTAATTGCTGGTTTTAAGGACTTAAGCATTTGGGAACATAACTTGACTAGCTTATGTCGAGGGACTATGAGATTCTTTTTGGGGCATCCTGCTAGACTTTTAACACAGCATATTCATTTTCATAGTGCCTATGCTTCAGAAGCCGCTCTTCAGGATAGTTCATACTTTAAAATGCAAAGACATTTACCAGCAGCAAGAGTAGCAAGACATAGGGCCAGCTATGACAGGAAAAGTGATGAGGTTACCACAGCCTTTATCCTGCAGTGACATGTGCTTTACCTTGTATCACGTTTAACACTTCATTAGATGATCGCTTCCCCATGATAATCAGGAAAAGTGGAAACTGATCTGTCTTTTGAGTCCGAATGGTTTGTGCAATAACACTGCCAAAATGTCTATTGCACATTGTCAGAAATCTAAAATAGAACAAAATCCAAAGTCAGTTTCAAACAAATTTATTACTAGAACTGAGATACCATTATTATGTAAAGATTAGATAGCCTGATTTAGATCAGTATGGGAAATTTTACTATGAAATCTTTAATGGTTATCATATGGAAAAGAAAGAAGTATATCCTAAATGCTGTCAAGGGCTGACAACACAGGATTCTTCTTAAGTCTCAAATATTTCAAAATGCACTACCTAAACTAGGAGAAAACAAAGACATTTCCAAGAGAGAATTTCTTAACAAGGATAAATAATATAGCATAGCAGAGCGTCATTCTGAAAATAGAATCGGCAACATTTTCCTAACTCCTCAGAATCAAGAACTACACTGGGCACTGTGTTTTCTCTAGAAGTAGTAGGTCTTCTAGGTTTGTACTTAGTATGGAATAAAAACAACAATTCTAAGCTTTTGGCCAAAAAAGCTCACAGATATTAGCATACTGAAGTCTAGCATTAGTATTCTTAACACGATCTGGAATAAATGAAAAAACTGATAAAGCTTTTCTCTTCTATTAGAGGACTGTTTGAAATTAGCATTTCTTTCAAGAGAAAAGGGTAGCTTATGATATGTTTTCAGATCTGATGGTAAAAAGTAAATGTCATAATAATAATGAATTATGAAAGACCAAATGCAAATATAGAATGCTTTAATAAGATCCAATTTAATAAAGTCTGTAAAAATAATGGACTTTTAATAACACAGGTCACAAAAGGCAAAACAGTGGAAATTCTGGAGACTAGCCACTGGTACTAGCTTATTAATTCTTAATTATGTTCATGAAAGGCAACTTAAGTCGTGTGTTTTCTTATGCCTTATGATAATATTTTAGGTAACAACTCCTCTGAAATGTATGTTCTAGCTGATGAGCAAAGTCCTGTCGTCACATGCATTAGAAGGTAAATCTATTTGAAAAGACAAATGGTATTAAAATGTCATGTGCTCAGATTCATTTGATAACCAATTCAAAACAGAATCAAACCTCTTAATTTTTAAAGCCAATACATTTTCTGTCAATAGAAAGTCATTTCAAAAATTTAGGCTGAATCTTTTGTAAAACCCGTGCTGTGACTCCAGAAGGTGGATCTTGTTAAGGGCAGAGAGAACTGCCGGCTGGTGTCAAGACAAGTTAGCACCACTGCAGTAAGTTCACTGGGAGGGAGGTTCATATCCACGTTTAGTGCGGCAATAACCAGACCTCATGGCAATTTGAAATGACAAGGCCTTAAGAAATCCATTGTCGGCCATGAAATATCAGTGCCCCCATGAAAATTCAAATCTTCACATTCCACAACTATTATGGGATAAACGGTTCTCAAGCAGACTGAGCTTCAATACCAAATTTCACACTCATATAGCTTTAATTCATCAACAGAGATGTGTAGATCAGGAGACTAGCAAGTGAGGGTCTCATTTTTCTTTATGTGTCTTACTAAAATATTTGAAGTCAGTCTTGACCCTGAGCAGATCATTGGCAACCACTAAAATTAAAGATGTCAAAAAACAGTTGAAATGCTATTTCCTACAAAAGGGAGAAAAACAAGTCCTTGTTGCTTTCACACCAACGGATTGAACGGGTATCACATAGTAGATGCCCATCACAACACTGGCACCACTACCTAAACAGGATGGCCCTGGCTGCTAAGGAAAAAAGGGAAAGAAAGAAAAATAGTACACAATTGAGAGGGTAGGAAGCCGATCCAGAGAGAGAGAAGACATGAGAGAAAGGGGTTGGGAGGAGGAAAGAAAGAAAAGCAAAAGGTTGGAAGAGAAGATCTTATTGGTCCAAAACCAAAAGAACAGACATGGTAAAACAAGTTTTTTTTAAGAAAAAAAGTACATTTCATATATTTGCAGAATTTTGTTCTTTTTGAACAGTTACAAGTATTCCAGAACACCTAGAAGGGAAGACTAAAACTGTCAACCCAACTGCAACTCATTCTATATTTTTCAGTCAGATAGAAATAAATGGTTGCTATAATCATTGGATTCCAGAAATTTCCATCCCAAAGTGAAAAACAATTACCATTTTGCAATGCTGAGAAATCTCTTTCTCACTCTTTTTATTTTTTATTTTTTTTAAACAGTAGAGGACTTACATAAAGCAGCGACCTATTAAGCACTGACTTATTTGAAGAAGGAAATAAAAAGTGATTAGGGAGAGGTGGCTCCGTGGGACAGGAGGGCATGGCACGTGCCGTGGAAGCATGAGGCCTGATCCTAGTATCTATGATGAAATGCCGGACCCTTACTAGGAGCCTCAGCACTAAGCAGGTGAAGACTAGAGGCTTGCTAGGGCTTATTGGCCTCCAGCCTAGATCCAGGCTCATTAAGAAACCCTGTCACAGTGGAATAAGGCAAAGACTGACAGAGCAGGATGCCAACAATCCTTTTTCTAGTCTTCATGCTCACATGGGCTCACACCCACACACAAATGTGCATACATACCTCCAAAAGAAAGTGGGCTTGCTATTTAGGCTAGGCTGGCTGAGAGCACGCCTGTCTGCACCACCTTGAACATGGGTTACAACCACACCTCTGCCTGGATTTTTACATGAGTGTTAGTGACCCAACTCAGATCCTCAGACTTTATGGCAAGCACTCAACTGACTGCACTATCTGCCCAGCTCTGCTCCTTCATTTTCTGAATGACAGTAAAACCGTTAATGTTTTCATTTGGTTAATAATTTATCCGTGTATCTTACTGTAGTTCATTGTCCAAAAAGAAATTAGTGTTGGTTTGAACATACCATTTTAATAATAACATTAATGATGAAAATGTTAAGTAGCAGATAGGTCTGTTGGTAAAGGCAGTTGCTACCAAACTCAACAACTTGAATTCCATCCCCAGCACCCATGAAGTAGAAGAGAACTGACTCCAGCAAGCTTTCCTCTTACCTCCACACACATGCCCTGCCACACTCTCCCACATGCTTACACAGACAGACAGACAGACAGACACAAAGAGTTGCTTTTCAATGTTAAATATCATTAAGCATTTAAGAGTAACAACATACAAAAACCATTCCTATAAATCCTCCCATCCCAGCTCAGTTCTTTTCTGGAGCTCCTGTTGGAAATGTTCTTCAGCACTGCTGGGCTAACACCTCTGCCCTTGGAGGAAGCTTTGAGTTTTGTAGTCTTAAAAGTCTCTGGTCCACACTGAGTTAAGTAAACACGTACACAGCAAAGCTGCAGACTATGTGATCCTCAACTTCCAGTGTCCCAGGAATCACCCAGGGAGTTTTCCCTAGAGATTTTGACTGGGTGAGACACAGTACGCTTGCTCTCTAACAGATGTCTTCCCCCAGGTGATGTTTGCTTTTTGAACATTTTTCTTTTCTTTTTTTTTTTTTTTAATTAATTACAGTTTATTCACTTTGTATCCCAGCTGTAGCCCCATCCCTCACCCCTTCCCAATCCCACCTTCCCTCCCTCTTCTTCTCCTATGCCCCTCCCCAAGTCCAATGATAGGGGAGGTCCTTCTCTCTTTCCATCTGACCCTAGTCTATCAGGTCTCATCAGGACTGGCTTCTTTGTCTTCCTCTGTGGACTGGTAAGCCTGCTCCCCCCTCAGGGGGAGGTAATCAAAGAGCCAGCCACTGAGTTCATGTCAGAGACAATCCCTGTTCCTATTATTGGGGAATCCTCTTGGACATTGAGCTTCCATGGGCTACTTCCGTGCAGGGGTTCTAAGTTATCTCGTTGGTTGGAGTATCAGTCTCAGAAAAGACCCCTGTGCCCAGATTTTTTGGTTCTGTTGCTCTCCTTGTGGAACTCCAGTTCCCTCAAGGTCTTTCTCTCTCCCCCTTCTTTCATAAGATTCTCTGCACTCTGCAAAAAGTTTGGCTATGAATCTCAGCATATGTTTCAATTCAAGAAACCCCTTAAGATTCCTTTTGAGGTTTTGGTTGTCTCTGAAAAAGTCGGAAGGAATCATCCCCGAATGTTTTGGGTAATGCAGCTTCACTGAATTCTACCTTGTTTCCTTAGGTAACCTCTGAAAATGTTAATTCCTATTAGCTTCCTTGATATTGGTGAGCTCAGGTCTGGTGTATCTCACAAGTTTAGGAGCCCAGTGAGCAGAGAAAACCAAACAGGGCGTGGGAGCTTATGAGACAAATGAAATGTTTTGGGAAGACCTCCCTGCAAAGGTGACATTTGATCAAAAGCTCAAAAGAGGTGAAAGTGAAGTCAATAGCAGGCAAAGAGAACAACAAATACTGAAGGTCATATACCAAAGGTCACAAGAACAAGGTTATCCCATCTCATTCAGTATAGCTTCCAGTTCCATTTAGTTACCTGAAAATCTCTCCATTCATTTTTCTTTACAGCTAAGTAAAATTCCACTGTGCATATGCATGATATTTCCATTAACTACTCATCAGCTGAAGGACATCTCAGTTGTTTCCGTTTCCTAGCTATTACGAACAGACATCAATGAAGGCGACTGATCAAATAGTAGGACACTGAGTCCTCTGGGCATAGGCCAAAGAATGGTAAAACTAGGTCTTACAGCAGATCTATTGTTAGCTTTTTGAGATTCTCCACACTGATTTCCATAGTGGCCACACCGCTTTGCAAAGCCATCAATAATGAATCAGGAGTCCTATTTCCTGGAACCTTCACCAGCATTTGTTGTCAGTTCTTTTCTTGATTTTAGCCATTCTGACTAGGCAAAATAAAAATCTCAAAATAGTTTCAATTTGTATTTTCTGATTGCTAAGAATGTTGATCCTAGCTCTGAATCTGAAGTAACACTAAGGACGTTAGGAAAAGCCACAGGGGAATATTATTTTATAAACTTATTAAAAAACACACACACAAATAGAAAACATGGGGTTATGCCACAGAAAAACCCTAGTGCCAGGTGTAGGAAACCTCCCTTTGAGGTGTCAGTCGGGAGATTCCAACAGACTTAAGGCAATAGAGTCTACTGCCTCTCCCTCTGGCTGCCTCCAAGAGCCTGA